GCTTACCTTGCTCCTGGAGACCCGGTCCCCCTCGGGAGGGTAACAAGGGAAAGTGTTCAGTGCAGATCAGTGAGTAAGCACCAGCCCGCCCATGCTTACCTTGCTCCTGGAGACCCGGTCCCTCTCGGGAGGGTAAAAAGGGAGCCGTCTGAGCAATAGTGTGTATATATATATATATATATATATATATATATATATACAGATGATTAAACAGTTAATGGTAATATGTGTAATGACTAAGAGCAACATTGGAGCCTGAGGGCTTGACCTTGAATCCTAGCTCCATGACTTTCAAGCAACATGATACTCTATTAAGGTAATCATCTGTGATCATCCATGACTTGACCTCATGGAGTGGGGAGGTTAATGAAATGAGTTAATACACATGAAAGGATCAGAATTGTGACATGCCACCATCAGCAGTGGGCTCACGCTGAGTTTTGGCCTTGTACCTGCACCTGGCCAAAGGTCCACAGACAGGGCCCCAACACTTAAGACCTTTGGAGAAAATGACCAAGGGTACAGAAGTCCCCAACTTGCATGGTGAGTATCACAGGAGCCAGAGCCCCCCTTCTCCAGTGGCCTCTGAAGATAATCAGGCTGTGGTTTGGTCTATCTTGTCATCAGTTGCTCTTGGAGATAGGGCAGTGTCAGGCCTTGGGTCCACCACCACCACTGCCACCATCCTTCTTTTCTTTGTGTGGTGGTTCTTAGGCCCTAACAGGAGCTTCAGGACCCTAGAAAAATCCCAGTTCCCCACTGGGAGACCCTAGGGTGCTGTGCAGGAGAATCTGAGTAGTGGTGCGGGTCTCTTTGGAAAGGTACACATCTGTAGAGGGTCTAGCCCATAGGGGAATCCCCCTGGTAAACATCCTCCAAAGGGCAAAGAAAGGCCCAGAAGGATTGGGTCACAGCCACTGACATCCACTGTCCCCTGCCCCTCTGTTCTGCAAACATCTGGGGCATGTTCACCCTTAACCCCACACACTCACCTTCCCGCATTGACCCTCTAAGCCCCTGCACAGTCCTCTGAGCGTGGCGTCTTCCTCCTCTTCACAGGCAGTACATCAAGGCCTGCAAAGCAGGTAACATGGACCAGGCCCTGTCCCTGTGGTTCCTGCTGGGCTGGCTGGGTGGAGACTCCTGCAACCTCATTGGCTCCTTCCTTGCTGACCAGCTGCCCTTGCAGGTGGGCCTGGCCCCAGGCAGGGTGGGGCTGCCCAGGACAGTCACAGCAGGGGTGGGGCAAGGCAGGGTGGACTGGGGGAGGCCAGCAGGGAGAACCAGAGCTCATTGGCCAACCAGTTTCCAGTAGCCATCTTGTGAGGTGCCTACACTATAGAGAGCCCTCTTCCTTGCCATGCTGTGTGACAATGAGACATGTCATTGCCCTTCAGTAGGCCCATCTGCAAAATGAAGCACATCTGCCTGGGTCTCTTCGACCTCTAAAGAGCTGTGGTCCTGACTGAGCTCTCAGGACAAGACCTGGGGCCCTGGGAGAGGAAAGATGCTTCCTGAGGGTGGCCCGGGAGCTATCATCTCCTGTGGCCATACTCTTCCTGTGGTCTTGCTACTTTATCAGTCCAAACCAGGGCCTTGGGTCCCACTTTGTCCTGACTAGTAGCATTTGCCACCATGTTCTTAGCACTTGCCTTTGCTGGCCCTTTGCCTACCTGCTGTCTAATTCGGCCAGGTCAGAACTGTGAGCCCTTCATTTCCAAACAAGGAAACAGAGGCTCAGAGTGGTGAAGTGACTTGCCCAGGGCCACTCAGCTAGGAAATGGCAGAGCACTGCCCTGGTTCTGGGGTCTTGTCCCCAGGGCCTGGGACTGTATGCCACCCACACAGAGTGTCCCGGCTTCCCTCGTAGACCTATACAGCGGTGTATTACGTCATGGCAGACCTGCTGATGCTGACGCTGTACTTTCATTACAAGTACAAGAAGCGCACCTCCCTATGTGAGTTCAGGTGGCCCCTCTGGGTTGAGCATGCTGATGGCAGCTGGGAGGGCTGGGAGCTTGGGAGGAAGCAGATTTCCTGTGCCAGGTGATAGACAGTGACTTCCTCAGGCCTTATCCAAAAGTCTCAGCCTGGTTGACCAAGATCAAAGATCAATGGCAGTGAGCTCACTCTGGGTCAGACCGCAGGGAGGCGCCATCACTCAACTACTATTATATCTCAGAGATACTAGGGGTTTGGTTCCAGACCACCACAATAAAGTGAATATTGCAGTAAAGCAAGTCACACGAATGTTTTGGCTCCCAGTGCATATAAAAGTTATATATACTACAAACCTTCAATTTGTGAAAAAGAAAAAGCAGTATCTGTGAGGTGCAGTAAAACAAGATATGTCTGTACTCATTCAACTAGCACAGCCTTACTACTTCCTCCTCAGTGGCTGGTCTTGGGCTTGGGGAGAGAAAGCAAGGAAGGGCCTCTGTGCCCTTGAGGATTCAGAAGAGAGACAGACAAGATCAAATTGAGCACTGTACAAATGCTGTGGAGGCATTTAGGAGGGGGGACTGGGTGTCACTGTCATTTCTGCTTTTGACCATCTTCCTCCTGACCCACTGCCCTCACTGCTTCAGCTCTGCAACCCTAGTGGGTGGGTACTGTTACTACATCCATGCTACACATGAAGATTCGATGCTAGAAAGATTAGGTCATCTGCTTAAGGTCACACAGTGACTTGAGGGCCACACCCAGGACTCCCATCCCAAGCGTTTGCTGCCCCTCACATGGCTAACCTCAGTTGCCCCCGCCCCCTGTCCAGTGTCTACCACCATCAATGCTGCACTCTTGCTCATCTTGGGGACAGTGTTTTCCACCCCTCTGCTGAGCAGGCTTGACCCTGTGACCACCCCGAGGGAGGTCTTCCGGGGGCGGACACTCCTATCCTTGGAGTCAGGCAGTAAGGTGAGAAGTGGGGACATGTGGTAGAGTTGGGAGGTGGGCAGGGCTCTTCCTAAGGTCCTTCCCTGCATGGCCACGGGAGTGTTTCATGGGGTAGTGTGTGTGTGTGTATGGGGTAGGGGGGTATCAACCCCTAGGAGGAAGCTTGGGGATCTCTCCGTACACTTCCAGCCTCTTTAGGCCCTGATCAACCCTTCCATTCTCTCAGCCTTTCACCCAGCAGGAAATCATTGGCTTTGTCATCGGCTCTGTCTCCAGCGTCCTGTACCTGCTCTCCCGGCTGCCTCAGATCCACACCAACGTGAGCCTTGAGCGGGGTTTGTGGGGGGTGGGGTGGGGTGGGGTGGGGGTGTGGTGAGCAGAAGAGCTGGCTTAGCCGCTCGGGCTCTCCAGGTTAAGGGTGTAGCCTGGTACAGGAGTTTTTGTTCAGAATGTCTTGGTCCACACTCATTGTTGGCTTGGGCAAGCTAATCTACTTTCTAAGCCTTGGTTTCTGCCTCTGGGGAATGGGCATGATAATGCCTTCTGTCGAAGGGTGTGTGACCTGTGATGTCAGGTGAGAGCAAGGAGCTGAGCTTCCAGGCCTGAGGAGGGTGGAAGAGGTGGGAGACTCAGAGATAGGAGAAGATTGCTCAGCAAGGAGAGTGGGTTGGGGTGGAGATCAGGGCACAGGGGCCCAGCCGGCATGGCACAGCCACGTCTCTCGCAGGCTTGGAAGAGGTTGTTGGAGTGGGGACAGGGGTCAGGCCTTGCAGGGGGCTGGTCTGTGTGACAGACCCACTGGGCACACAGTAGATGGTCAGCTCAGCATGCACAGTGTGGTGGGCCAGACAGCCACGGGGACAGCTGTAATCCAGAGTGGAAGGGCCCTGTTTGAGGCCTCTGACCCGACCTTCTTCACCCCCAGTTCCTGCGGAAGTCGACCCAGGGGATCTCTTACTCGCTGTTTGCACTGGTCATGCTGGGGAACACGCTGTATGGGCTGAGCGTGCTGCTCAAAAACCCTGAAGTGGGCCAGAGTGAGGGCAGCTACCTGCTGCACCACCTGCCCTGGCTCGTGGGCAGCCTGGGCGTGCTGCTGCTCGACAGTGTCGTATCCTTACAGGGCACAGGGCACAGGGCAGCTGGGGAGCAGGTGGCATTCTGCCTGCACGCAGCTTCAGCATTCACTCATTCATTCCTCATTCGTTCACTGGTGTGCCGGGCACCCTGCTACACCCCAGGGTCCAAAGGTGAGTAAGAACGGACTGGCCCTCGCCCTTGAGAAGCTTGTAGTTCAGGGGAACGGCAGACAGGGCACACGTGGGATTATCAAATAATCATTTCATTGCAGTGCTGCCAAGTGCTGCAGAGAACAACTAAGAGTGTATGACCAGGAGGCTGTCCAGGTTTAGAGGGTCAGCAAAGGCCTCATGAGTGACATTTAAACTGTAGCCTGAAGGCAGAAAAGGAATTAGATGAAGGCAAGGGAGGAGTGTTCCAGGCAGCTTGGGTAAAGGTCCTGACTCAGCCTTCCAGGACCTCTGTTCTCTTCAGCACCTCCTATGTGCATCTGGTGGTGGGGACACAGCAGTGGGAATGCCACCCCAATAGGGTCCCTGCCCCTGGGCACACAAGAAGCAGAATAGCAGATCCTGGTTCTGTATCTTAACTTCTGGGCCTCAGTTACCTCATCTGAGAAATGGGGAATGGAGAAAAGTCAGCCCATCCAAGCCACAGGCATGAAAGCTGGGATGTGGAGAGACACGTGGGTTAGAGTTAAAAGACCTGGGTTCAAACCCGGCCTCCACCACTTTGAACCCACCCTGGGTGACGGGGCACACCACAGCATCATCTGCCTGGAACAGAACTAGACTCACCAGGCTAGTGGGGCGAGCCCATCAGAGGAGTCTGAAAACAGCTCACAGTCCAGCACACAGCACATGCTCAGGATGTGTTTGCTAAGTGACCAAACAAGGACAGTATTCAGGTCTTATTTGGGATAAAGTAAACACAGTCCTTATTTTGGTGTTTGCTGAGTCCCTGCCAGGTGCAGTCAGGGTTACATTAACAGTTTAATGTTACAAAAAAGCCACTGCTGTCAAGTTGATTCCAACTCACAGCCACCCTGTAAGGACAGAGTAGAACTGCCCCATAGGGTTTCCAAGGGTGTAATCTTTACGGAAGCTTTCTCCTGTGGAGCTGCTGGTGGGCTCAAACTGCCGACCTTTCAGTTAGGAGACAAGCTGCTACGTCCCAGTGCCGCTGAATGGTCCCAGCCACTTGTTAAAACCCCCAGCTGCTGGAGACTGGGAGGAAGGCAAGATCTTGAGTTTAGGGGCTGGGAAGGCTGCCTGCAGGAAGAAGAGCTGGGTGGTGTGTGGAAGATGAGTGGAGGTGGCTGAGGGTTGTGGTGTGGAGAAGGCATTTAAGTGCAGGGCACACAGCAGGGTGAAGGCTGGAGCTGGGTCCTGACCCTTCCCACCTGCCAGGCTGTGGTGATAGGGCAAAGGCAAGCTCTGTGCTGGAGCCACAGGTGCCCCAGGGACGGACTCTGCTTGGTTTGCCTTGACGGGCTCCAGATCTCTGTTCAGTTCCTGGTCTATAGGAATGTTGCCACGGCCACCTCGGAGAGCGAGCCCCTCCTCCCCAGCTGACCAGGACCCAGGCTGAGCCCAGGATGACAGGGACCTCCATACGCCATGTCCAGGAAGAGAATGAAGGGTGGCTTGGGATGGTGCTGCTGACCCTGGACTGGGCTGTGGAGGAAGTTGGTGGGAGGCCCACAACTCCAACCCAGCCACTTCCCCTTATACTTCTGAAACCTCTGAGGGTGACTTCCCAAGAACAAAACGGCCCCAAGGTTCAGCTACCCCCTTGGAAACCTGCCCCTGGAAGCCTCGTGGGAGGGGCTGCAGCTGGTACCTCAAAAGATGGTGTGGCAGCACCCCCCCACTCCACTCTGGCTCACCTACCTCAGTCTTCCTGTTCACGCCCTGGAGGGCGGGTGCAGCTGCAGCCCAGTGGACCAGGACTGTCCTGCTGACTCCAGCCATCCTAGTAAATGGAACCTCCCAGTGAGGACTATTTCTGTTGTTCCTTCTGTTCGGGGGAACAGTAGTGGATGGGGATCTGGCTCCACACCTCAAGTCCCAGCAAGACCTAACGGGTCAGGATGTGGGAGAACCCAGGGGGAGGGGCTGCATCTCCTGCCACTCCCGACCCAGCCTCCTGGGACCTCTGTTCTCCTCAACACCTTCTATGTGCATCTGGTGGTGGGGACACAGCAGTGGGAACGTCACCCCAACAGGGTTCCTGCTCCTCGGCACAAAAGAAGCAGCAGAATAGCAGATGCTGGTTCTGTATCTTAACTTCTGGGCCTCAGTTACCTCATCTGGGAAATGGGGATGATATTACCATCATAGGTCCTTCTAAGGATAAAATATTCTGTTGTTGGCTGCCACTGAGTTGGCCTCTGACTCATGGCAGCCCATGCACAATGGGACAAAACGCTGCCCTGCGCCATCCTGATTGGTGTGGATTGGACTGTTAGCCGTGAAGTTGTCAGTGGCTGATTTTCAGAAGCTGGTCACTTCCTTCCTAGTCCATCTGAGTCTGGAAGCTCTGCTGAAACCTGCTGAGCATCATAGCCACACGTAGGCCTCCCTGACAGATGGTGGTGGCTGTGCGTGAGGGCCCCTGGCTGGGAACGGAACCCCTGTCTCCTGCTGAAAGGTGAGAATTCTGCCACTGAACCACCACTGCCCCCTGTGGATTAAGTAAAATGGTGTTAATTACGGAGGTCTCACTATGTCTGGCACATAGTGAGAACCCAATAAAGGTGGTGGTTGTTAGGCGCCTTGAGTCAGTTCTGACTTACAGCGACCCTGTGTGCAACAGAACAAAACACTGCCCAGGCCGGCACCATCCTCACAGTTGTTGGTATGTTTGAACGCTTCGTTGTAGCTACTGTGTCAATTCATCTCATTGAGGGGCTTCCTCCTTTTTGCTGACTCTCTACCAAGCATGATGTCCTCCAGGGAGGTCCCTCCTGATAACATGTTCCAAGTACCTGAGACAAAGTCTCACCATCTTCGCTTCTAAGGAGCATTTTGGCTGTACTTCAGACAGATGTGTTTGTCCGGCAGTCCATGCTATAGTCTGTATTCTTCGCCAAGACCATAACTCAAAAACCATCAATTCTTCAGTCTTCCTTATTCATTCTCTAGTTTTTGCATACATATGACGTGATCAAAAATACCATGGCTCTGGTCAGGTGCACCTTAGCCCTCAAGGGGACATCTTTGCTTTTGAACACCTTTAAGAGGACTTTTGCAGCAGATTTGCCCAGTGCTATATGGCATTTGATTTCTTTACAGCTGCTTCCAATATGTTAGTTCCATTATTTTTAGCTGGAGGGGACAACCAGCTAGAGATGATGAAAACTAAACAAACTCATTGCCATTGAGTCTGATCTGACTCAGCCACCCTTCCCTGGGTTTCTGAAGTGGTATCACTACAGAAAAGAGTTCTGGTGGCATAGTGCCTAAGGCATTTATTTGACTGCTAACCATTTATTTGACTGTACCCACCAGCCACTCCTCAGAAGGTAGGTTGGGCAATCTACTGGCAATCTACTTCCGTAGTGATACTGCCTCAGAAACCCAAGGAGGGGTCGCTATGAGTTGGATCCGACTTGAGGGCAGTTTTTTTTTTTTTTTTGACCCCGAGGGAGAGTCCAGCCCGCAGCTCATCCAACCTGAATTCTTTCCATCTTTGGAGCCTTCGGTCCACTGCCCCTTCCCTGGAGGATCCAAACCAGTAGGGTGGCTACCCTCAGCAGCTCTGGGGCTGACTTTGTGGGTCAAAGAGCCTTTCCTAGGTCCCTGGGTGGTGGTCTGCTCCAAGGTCTCAGATTCCTGGATCATCTGGAGAGAGAACCATAACTGGCCTGGCCTGGGTCACACAAGGGCATGGGGACACAACACCCTGATTATGTTGCACTGAGGCTGCACGGAGTGGTTGAGATGGTACCAGTAGGCCACATCCACCCCCGCTCCACCCCCACTGTGGTGGTGGAGGGGCCCACAAGCGTGGGAGGCAACTAACTAGCCCAGGGCTGCCACACAGCAGGTGCTTGCTTAGTAAATGATTGGGGTGAATGAGGAAACTTTGGAGACAGGGAGTCTTGGAAGGGTCCCAAACCAAACTGACCTGTTGCCACTGATTCCAGCTCACAGCAATCCCATGTTGAGAGCAGAGCTGCTCCATCGAGTTTTCTTGGCTGTAATCTTTTCACAAGCAAATTACCAGGCCTTCTACGAACTCACTGGGTAGGCTTGAACTGCCAACCTCTAGGTTAATAGCGGAGCACAAACCTTTGCACTACCCTGTGGTGTGGGAAGGGCGCCGGGGGGGCTGGTTTGTTAAGGAACAAGGGGGGGAGGGAAGGTCCCACTGTTTGAGCCTTCAGCCCTCTGGAGACACAGGTACCCCCAGTCCCAGGGGTGCTGTGCAGAGCTCCGGCCTGGAGGCAGGATCGTGATTCCCAGACTTGAGAGCCCCGCCACCCCCACCCAGGCTGCCTTCCATTATGTTTGTCACCAAGGGGCACCATCAGGAAGCATCCAGTGGACTCATGGGCATACTATGTCACCTGCAGCTTGTCAACTACGACTCAGAGCTCCTTTATGCCATTTCCTGGCCTTCTCCCTTTCTTGAGAATGCATAGAGGGGTCCTGTGGCCACCAACCAAGGTCCTCCCACTGAGGCCCTCCCACTGAGGCAACCCAGGAGGGGGCAGGAAACGAAGTGACCAGGAAGTAGCTGAGTGTGGCCCTGACCGAGGCCCCCAACATATCTGCCCCAGCCTCACCAGTTTGCTGGCATACACTGCAGCCACAATTCTTTTGTTATTTTGGTACACCTAATAACTCATTAGTTCAACACTTAGGTGCCAGCATTCTGCTAACACTCCCTGAGGTTGCGTTATATGAGCCGGGCTCCCTGGATTCGCCTTGCCCAAGGGCCCACAGCTGAACAGTGCCAGAGCCAAGGTCAACTGTCTTTCCAGCATGCCTCATTTTCCCCACCTGGTTCTACAAAGGAAGTGTGTGCACAGGGGCTTCTTCATTCTATTTGTCTCCCATGGTAACTTGCATTCACCAGAGATGTGCCCTTCTGGGGAATTTTCCCATCAGGCCGGGCAGAGAGAAGCAGGGACCAAAGAGCCAGGGTGTGGGCCTCACCAACCACATTGCCAGCCAGTGGCCAGAAACCTGGTGACAGGTGGGGATGGTGTGGCAGAGGCTCTGAAATCTGCTTCAAATACTCCCTGGAGGCCACTGGAGAGGAGGAAGCAAGGACTTTGCAGCTTTGTGAGGTCTTGAGCAAGTTACCCCAAGCCTGAGCCTCAGTTTCTACACATCTCCAAAAGGGGCCTGTCTGTTCACTGCTGCCGCCAAAGGCTGTGAAGGTGGTAGGAGATGTGGACAGATCTGCTCAGTTAGGTATTTGCCAGGCTGGGATGGGACCTTCGGGATGGGGGGATGGAGATGAATGTCCCAGGGCGTGTCCACCTTCCACACACCCTGCGTGATGTGAGTAGCCTCAGCTCCTCTCCAGGGCAGGCGTGTGGGTGGGGTCTGTGTGGACCTGGGGCTGAGAGCTGCAGCTCCTGGGCTGTGCAAGGACCCCTTCTCTCCTCATTCACCATGAAGGTCTTACACTCCCTCTGCCAGCTCTCCATCTCCACCTTTGGATCAGCCCTCCAGCCAAGGCCAAGAACGCTGAGCCAGGCAAGAAAGAACACAACAAGGCCGATGTTTACTGTGTCCCAGCTGCTTTTTATTTATTATTTTTTTTTTCCTTTTTTTTTTAAGTATGGAGGCTCAAGTATAAGATGTAGATTTTTGTTTAAGCTTTACAAAAAAACAAAACAAAACAAAAAACCAAAACAACAAAACTCCTTTGCATTCCATAAAAATTGACAGAAAAGCACCTGGCCAGAAGAGCAATCAGTCAGCAGATCCCCACCCCCACCCCCACCCCCACCACGTGGTCTCTGTGGGACGGGGCGGTCTGCACAGGGCGGTCTGCACAGGACAACACTGAGGGCAGCCTCTCCTTCCTCCCAGAGCGGTCCCCTGTCCCCCCCGACCCCCAGCCCCAAGCAACTCCCAAACACACCTGGAATCAGATTGCCAGTTTTTCTTCTTTCACACACCACAGTTATTTCATAAAATTTTTTTGTTTTACATTTTTACACCAATGTAACAAAAAGGTGGGAGGGGAGGCAGACAGACAGTATATTTTATGCTTATAAATGGAGGGCGTGGGATGGGGTGGTGGCTTCAACAAAAAATACAGAGTCTCTATGGAAAGAGTGAGTTTTGATAGCAAAATGTGTGGAAGTAGGCCTCAGAGAAGAGAAGGGTGTTATTGAGCTTTATTCTTGGGGAGAGAAGGTGCTGTGCTGTTGATGATGCAACTTGTCATGTGACCTGCTGGGGCGAGAGGGACAAGGGAGAGGGGTGCAGAAAACAAGTTTCCTAAGAAAGGGATCTAACGAGCGCATGGTGTGTCCGTGTCCGGTTAGCATGAAGCAGAGGGTTAACACTGCTGCTTTCTCTTCAAAGCCTCCACCAGGTCGTTCTTAAGAGCTTCTTGTTTTGATTTGTCTGCAAAAGTCTGCACAGACCTGCAAGGGAGGAAAAGGTCGTGAGGGGCAGGCCTCACTGGGAAAGAGGGGCTGCTAGGTGCAGGCTATGAGCTGCCTGAGTTCTGGGAGAGAGCTCCACCCCCCAGCCAAGGCTCTGCGTTGCTGGGCTGGGCATCGAGCAATGCTGGAGGGGGGACCAAGCCCTAAGATCTGCACTCTCAGCACCTTGCCGGGTGCCAGGGCAGGCCCACGACCCACACGACAGACGCTTTTTCTGCATAGGCTGGGTATGACCTGGCCGTAGCCAGCAGAACCTGAGAGCCATTCCTCTGGGCATAGGCCCCAACATCAGCTGGAACCAGGAGGTGGCTTATGGGCTTCCGAGCACAACAGTCAAGACCTCTGCGCTGACCAGCTGCCCCAGGTTTCTGGCTGGGCAGTAGCCCTGGCTGGTAGGAACTCAGGCCAGGGCTGAGAGGCGAGGGCTTTGGGCCCTAAGGAACCTTCTATAAAGCTGCTCACTCCGGCCCAACTACAGGTGCAGCGGTATCTCACGCAGGAGGAGTGTCTGCCTGAGGCCCAGGCCTCCTCTCGGGAGTACATGGGGGCCAGCCAGGGCAGGACACTAAGCCAGGTCCTGTTTTAAGGCAGCATTATGTTAATCTGGTCAAGAAAAACACTCAGCCTGGACTGTGGGGAAAGAGCTGTGAAGGCATGTATGCGTGCACATTACCGCTCTTCAGCAAGGCTAAGATGACCACTAAGGTGCAGAGACTTTATCATCTACAAAGTGCTCTGCACCTATGTAACCACGTTTCATCTCACGAGCATCCCAGGAGAGTCCCCTATTATCTCCGATTGACAATGAGGAGACTGAGGTGCAGAGAAGTGCAATCCTCGATTGTTTCATCAAGTTTATCAAATATATTTGACTGACCCAGAACTTATCGAACTTTCTATAAACTTTAAGGCCATGGAAAGACAGGATGCCTAGAAGGATTGCCACAGATGTTATGCACGATGAGAACCTCAAGTCTGAGATATATTAACTAGAAAAAAGAATGGGAAGGATCAAAAATTAAGCCCCCAAAAAGCCCAAAATGAGCCAAATAAAATGAATCCTACAAACTTTGACCACTGAATTCTACAGAAATCATGGTAAGTGTCTTCCACCTGGTTAAGAGGTGGGCTAGATGAGACTTCAGAAGAATTAAACCAGAAAAAAAAAAGAAATGCTGACATTTTGGATGCTGCTGTAGAAACATCCAATTCTGAACATGCAGCATGAGAGTCTTTACCAGGCGGGCCTAGCCTGCCTCTGGCTCTGAGGTGGCCACAGGTAGGACAAGGACACTAGCCTGGTTGATCTCCAGCTCCAAATCCCATCTTCAAAGCTTACCCGGAGGCCTCACCCCTAGCCCAACAGCCCAGGGCATCCTGGCCGGGCTGGGCTCTCCTGGGAGGGAGGAACAAACAGCCCAGGCCTGGGCCATGCACGACCTCCCAGCCCCACACAGGAGGAAGTTCCAATCAGAATCAGGTAAGTGATGGAATGAAGCATAAGGAGCAGGGGACTCAGGGGATAAAGCTTGGGAAGGTCACTGCAGATGACCTCAACCTAGGCCTGGAGGAAGCACCCAACTCCGTGCAGTAAGAAGGACCTGTCCTCAAAGGACTGGTGGGCTTGCTGTGGAGAGGCTGTCTCTGCAGGAAGCCTCCAGTGGGCAGCTGGGGACTGGCCGAGGCTGGCGATCCAGAACACGCCCGACCCACCTTCCAGGCTGAGGGTAGGAGAGGACTGCACCCCCATGGATGCAGCCCTGTGGGAAATGTGGGAGAGCAGCTCCACCTGACTCACACAGCAGCGCGACACAGAGTGCCTCAGAGACTCTTCATCAACAACAGAGCCGCTTACCTTGGCCCCACCTCCTGGAAATCCCACCAAATCTCTTCTAGGTCAAGCCTTTGGGGCCCAGGCCCTGGACCTGGGGGGTAGCCCTCACTGCCCTGGGTCCCACCCACATAGCTTCTGAATGCCTTATTTTTTACCCGTTTCCGTCCTCTCTCGAGATGCTGTTTTCATACATCTGTATTAGCCATAAGCTCAAGTCATGGTTCTTGGCCATTATCAACAAGCAGGACTATTTTCTTTTCTGTCAGTGTGACATGTTTTGGAGAACACCTGCAGCTCATTAGGAGTGGGAGGTTGTGCTGGTTCAGAGGGCAGCAGCCGTGGGCGCCCCAGGCAGCCTGGTGCAGGAGGCCCAGCAGCACCCCACTCTCAGAGGTGGGGGGGTTGTAGGGGGTGGCGCAGCACCACCCCTTTTAAGTCAGATAGCCCCAAACGATTTCCCATTGAGAAGGGAGTTATCTGACATTTGGGATCAGCTGATATACGAAATTCCTAGAAGCCTCCTAGAACATGGGGATGGGTAGATAGCTCCCAGCCCCTTTATCTGCTGGCCAACAGGATAAGTGCAGACAAGCACACCATTAGTTCCTTACTCTGGGCTTCCAGGAGCAAGAGCTGAGAGCCCCATCGTCCCCACACCCACCCTCCACCCAGAGTGTAGACACACACACCATACATGTGACACGTCTCCCTGTTATGTGGCGCTGAGGCTACATGGTCTGTGGCTGCTCACCAGCTGTGAGAGGGCAAGGGGTTAGTGCTGGTTTAAGTGGCCGTGCAGCAAAAGCCAGACCAGCGGGGTCTTGGCAGGTTGGTGAGTCCTGTTTAGTGGGGAGGGCGCTCACGCCTCTCAGGCAGGGTACCTGGATCGGCTTAATTGTCAGGCTGGATGTAGATCTGGCGCTGGGTCAGCACTTGAGAAAGCTCCCTCTGCAACTGCTTAAACTTTTGGTTGTCAGGGATAGCATCAATAGATCTACAGAGAGTGTGCAGAATGAGAGAGACAGGCGGGGGGAGAACAAGAATTGCAGACACAGAGCAGAGAACAGCCAGGGAAGAAATGAGGGGGAGACACAGGAGGCAGAAGAAAGAAGGGAAAGTCATCAAGGCCCCTGCTGTTTGCAGGCCGAGGGGTGGATGTCAGGGCTGGAGAGGCCACTCTGCGGTCACTGTAACTTGCAGGTCTCACGAGCCTGCTCCTCTGCTCTCCTCCTGAGGCAGGAGCATAGTGCCCTCTCCCAGTCATTGCTGGGGGCTGTGCAGGGTGGCCTCATGGGAGAGCCCCAGAGTGGAGGCTCTAGTGGAGTTGGGTTATGAAGGGTGCAGTGACACCCATGAACATGGGGCTCTTACCCTGCTATAGATCAGGAAGCTCTGGGCACATATGACATATGAGGCCCAGGCCCAAGAGCAGGAAATGGGTGTTGCTAGAGGGGGAAAGTATAACCTACCAGAAGCCAATGCAAGTTCCCTACAGGGGACAGGAAATGGGGAAGACAAGGGGTCCGATGGGAGCTGCTAAATTTTAAAACTGTAGACTGGACGGCTTAAATCTGTCTCAAGGACAAAAATTCACATGCCAAGCTACTTCACGCCTCTCCTTTCGGGCTGCCATGAGACTAGTCCACACAATGGAAGCCAGGAGCAGAGAAGGACCGACCACCTGACTCCCACAGCAGTGCGGGTCTGCAGAGTGCCTCAGAGACCCCTTGTCAGCTCATCACATTCCCTCAGCCCGTCAGCAACTCTGCCTCCCTGATTGGATGAGGGGAGCACAGAGCAATGATTGTCAAAAGCCATACAGCTCAGACTAACAGAGTCTGAAGTCCTGATTCCAATGCTGGTGGATCACCTCCAAGCTACCCCGTTTTCCCTCTCACTGGGCTCTGGCCTCCTGCACAGCCCACCATGGACCCTGAAGACCCAGTGGGCACTGCTCAGCCTTGTCACAGGCTAATGCTGCAGAACCGAGGGTGTGGGATGGGCCAGGGAGGGACAGTTCAGGATCCTGGCCACAGTCAACAGAGCCTTGGCAGAGGACATCAGAGGGGCTGGGAACCCTTTCCTGAGAGTAGCAAGTTGAAGGGACCACTTCTGCATCACACACTCTGCTGTCCTGGAGCCTTGGTCAGTCAGAGGACCCAGTGGCCTGTGCTTTCTCCCATGACTTAGTTTAGTTTGGAGGTGCCCTTAGGGCCCAGAGCCAAAGAGGCTGGCCAGATTCTTTTGATGGGACTGAGAAGCTAAGGGACCAAGAGGAGGCTGACTCCAGGGATAAGGGCACCAACAGCTACTGAGGTAAATATGCTCCAGAAAACTCAAATAGTGGGGCAGGAACCAACATCTACTAAGAGCGCCAACTCAGCATGAGGTACTTTCCCTTTCTCATCTCTGTAATATGGACATCAATCCTTTCAGGTACAAACATTTACCCTGTTTTACACATGAGGAAACTGAGGCCCAAGATCACATAGCTATTAAGCAGTAGATTCAGGATTAAAGCCCATATCTTTTCACTCCAAAGCTTATGTTTCTCTGGTACATTTACCTCAGCCCATTGACGATGTCCTTTGTTTTTCCAAAGTAGATCTCATTCAGCGTACTTCTGATTTTGTTTTCCATATCCTGGGAGGGGAGGTCAGTTAGACACCATGGCAAACAGTTAGACATTCTGAGACCTACTACACCCTCCTGGCTCCCAGGAGCGCAACGCTGCAGTCCCCGCTGTGACCACAGGGGGGAGGTGCGTGACTGCTCTAAATCAGCATCCAGCAAGCTCCTGGCTCGCCAAGACCCCACCTATAATTTGAGCTCTGAGTGCTTTCAGGCACAGAGGAAGTCAATACCCAGGTATTGGCAGCCAACTATAACCATTATTGGGAGCTGGTCTAAACCACATCACCACCCCTCAACCTTCCCACCAATTTTGTGAACAATCCTGTGAAACCAGAGAGCACCTCCCTTCCTTCAAACAACGTGGTGACAGGGAAGGCTGAGGCAGCCGCAACTGAAGTTCCTCCAAAGCCCACGAGTGTTCCAGGGATCTGTTTCCTTTCAGAGCTCAGGTCTCTGTTCACACCCAATCAACTGGGGGAGACAGGACTTCACACTTCCCAGAGTCAATGGCCAAGTAGAGCCTTCCAGGAGCATGTAGGGGGTGGGGTTGGAAGAGGGTGCCTTTGGAGGGTCTGAAGCCCTGCCTGCATCCACATCAGAAGGGTTAGGAAACAGGAGGCAGAACAAAAAATGAGAAACACTCTGCTGGTTACTATGGAGCTAGAGAATGCAGTGGGCACAAGGGCCAGCAAATGGGCTTCAGGGGCAAAATGGCACATGCTGTGGTGGACACAGGAGTGAACCAGGGATACAGAGTCCAGAAGGCTACTCACCTCTACCAGGCGCCCAATGTTGGCTATGTGTGGGGAGCAGTCGCTCACAGTTTCATCTTTCTCCATCTGTAAATGACACAAACAGGCCGTCAGGGCATGCTCAAGCTCCCTGAGGACAGTGGTCTCAGCCATAGCATGGTCCCCGCTGCAGCCTGCAAAGAGCCTGTCGTGCCCGCTGGCAGCTCTGGTCAGCCAGCTACCAGTGTCACAGGGCCATTCTCCCAGGGGGACTGGAGCACCAAAACCCCAGCCAGCAGGAACCCATGACCAGGGGAGTGTTTTTGCTGCTGCCCTTGGTGGGTAGACACCTCCCACCAGCCCTCAGCAGGGAGGGCAGAGTTGAACACCCTCGCCAGGTGCTGCCTTGTCCAGGGCCACCTGGAAATGACCCACTTGGTTTACGTTCTTATCACTGTGTGCAGGCACAGGAGGCCTGTCCGTGTCACAGGTGAGGCCTCCAATGTGCTGTGTCACGCCTGCCCCTCAAGAGCCCTGTGTAAGCCCTATGGATGCCGCAAGTGGCGGCCAAAAGGCAAGAACTGACAACCATGATCAACAGAGGACTCTGAGACCCAGAAAGGTGAAGTGACTTGCCCAAGGTTGCACAAGTAGTTAATGGCAGAACCTGGGTCAAACCTTTTATTCCATCAGAGGCACTGGATTCTCTCCACTCTGTGAAGTTTGAGCATCAGTTGACTGACTGCGGGGTATTTGAGCACGTGAATTTCAATCCAGACTCCTAAATTATGACAGTGTGGGGTTCTGGAGAGGCAGGAACCCAGCAATTCGAGTCTTTAGTCTCTTCTTCCTCAGGCCGGGCAGAGTCCGTCCCGGCCTGACAGTCAAGACCCAGCATGAATAGGAAAGAAGGCAGGGCGGGCAGGAGGGAACGACACTTCTTGACATGAGCACGTGGTTCATGGACTCTGCACTGTTCCAGTTTTCCCCTATGTTTAAGCCGTATTTCCCCCAGAAGATTATACATTCCTTAAGGACACACTTTCCTGTTTTATATTCCGCAGAGTTCCCAGTAGAGTGCCAAGTGCATTAATGTTCAATGTCACTAACCTGAAACTAAGGACATGGCACCACTGTCACTACTGTTGTGATGTGGAAGCTGAAGTATGTAATTTAAAAACAGGATGAAAAGATCAGAACTGCATCAGGAGGGCTGGAGCTCAAGAAGCATTCAGGCTAGCAGAAAAAGAAAAGGTGGGGGCAAACTGTCTCCAGACAAGAAGAACAGGGCAGGTGCAGATACTTAGGGTGGCAACGTGTGCTTGGAGGCTGAAGGCCTCTGCTGCTTCTCCCTATCATGTCTTCCCCATCAGGGAGAATGATTTTCAGAGTGGGAAAGGTAAGAGAAGACCCCGTTAAGAGGCAGCAGAAGCCAAAATGGGCACACAGAGAACAGCAGAGAACAAGTCACTTCAAATGACCGAGCTTCCAGACTCAGATCAGAGGCTCAGGGGTGCCAGACCCCACGAGGAGGGTGGAGGCAGACCCTGCTTTCAGAGGAGGAGGAAGATTACAGTCTGGACACTAACCACTAATTGACTCTGATGAAGATAACACTTTCTACTAGGACTGTTAGAAATCATCTCTTGGCACATTCTAAAATCAGAGATCACCAGGAGCCAGCGTGGGCTCACTGTGAACAAATTCTGCTCTGTGAAGCTCCAGCCTCCTACTCTGATGGGGATGCTGGGCTGGAAGAACAGAGGACTACTTTGGTAAGATAACATGATTCTGACAGGTTCCCTTCTAATACCCCGTGGCTGTGCTAGCAATGTGGGGCTAAACGGTGGCTCACTCAGAGGGATCTGTGACCTGGGTTTGGCCCACCTGTCTGTCCAGGACTCAAATGAAGGCACAGCTAAGAGGGCTTAGTCACATTTTCCTGACAGCACCAAGGGCCAAAAGGATCCAAATAAAACAATGGGTTAGTGTCCAGCACAAGAACTGCCACCGCATATGGAGTGCTTGCCAGATGACACTCACCTTATTGCATTTCATCTTCTGTAGAACCCTATATGAAACTCAAAGGGGTCAAAGCTTAAAAATATCACGGAGTCTTCCTAGATCACAACAGCCCTGGTCCAACATGCTGAATACAGTGACCTGGCTGACTTGCAAGCAATTCCTGTGAAAAAAACTTATGTTTTTTAGATGATTTCACACTTGACAAGATTGTGATGTGGTTGCTATGGCAGCTTTAACGTAACATCGTTGTTGTTAGGTGCTGTTGAGTTGGTTTCAACTCATAGCAACCCTATGTACAACAGAATGAAACACTGCCTGGTCAGTCCCTGCACCATCTAGCAATCAGTCCCAGGCCTGAATGCATCATCGCAGCCACTTTGTCAGTCCATCTTGTTGAGGGTCTTCCTCTTTTTTGCTGACCCTCTACTTTACCAAGCATGATAGCCTTTCTCCAGGAAGTGGTTCCTTCTGACAACACGACCGAAGTATGAGAGACAAAGTCTGGCCATTCCTGCTCCTAAGGAGCATTCCAGCTCTACTCCCTCTCAGAAAGATTTGTTTCTTCTTTTGGCAGTCCACGGTACATTTGGTACATTCAATATTCTTCACCACCACCACAATTCAAATGCACTGATTCTTCTGCAGTCTTTCTTATATCCTGTCCAGCTCTCACATGCATGTGAGGCTATTGAAAATATCATAGTGTGGGCCAGGTACACCTTAGCCTTTAAAGAGGTATCTTTGCTCTCCAACACTTTAAAGAGGTCTTTAGCAGCATTTTTGCCCAATGAGATAGATACATAGTGTGATTTCTTGACTGCTGCTTCCATGGGCATTAATTGTGGATCCAAGTAATATGAAATCCTTGACGCTAATCTTCTCTCCATTTATCGTGATGTCGCTTATTGGTCCAGTTGTGAGAATTTTCATTTTACGTTGAGGTATAATCCATACTGAAGGCTGTAGTCTTTGGTCTCCATCAGTAGTTCAATCTTCTTCACTTTCAGCAAGCAACAGTGTGTCATCTCCATATTGCAGGTTGTTAATGAGTTTTCCTCCAATCCTGATGCTACATTCTTCTTCATGTAGTTCAACTTCTCAGACTATTTGTTCAGCATACAGACTGAAAAGGTATGGTGAAAGGCTATATCCCTGACACACACCTTTCCTGATTTAAAATCACACAGTATGTCCTTGTTTTATTCGAGTGACAGCCTCCTGGTCTATGTACAGGTTCTTCATTAGCACAATTAAGTGTTCTGGAATTCCCATTCTTCTCAATGTTATCCATAATTTGTTGTGATCCACACAGTTACATGCACTTTGCAAGTCAGTAAAACACAGGCAAACATTTTCCTGGTATTCTCAGCTTTTAGCCAAGATCCATCTGACATCAGCTATGCCATCCCTTACTCCACACCCTCTTCTGAATCTGGCTTGAATTTCCGGCAGTTCTGTCAATATACCACTGTAACCATTTTTGAATTATCTTCAGCAAAATTTTAGTTGCATATGATAGTAATGATATTGTTGGATCACTTCTGCATTCTCTTGAATCATCTTTCTTTAGAGTGGGTACAAATATCCATTTCTTCCAGTTGGTTGGCCAGGTAGCTATCTTCCAAATTTCTTGGCATAAATGAGTAAGTGCCTCCAGTGCACTGCATCTCAATGGGTGTTCCATCAATTCCTGGAGCCTTGTTTTTCACCAATTCCTTCAGTATAACTTGGACTTCTTCCTTCAATACCATTGGTTTTTGATCATATGCTACTCCTGAAATGGCTGAATGTCAATCAATTCTTTTTGGTACAGTGACTGTGTATTCCTTCCATCTTCTTTTGCTACTTCCTGTACTGTTCAATATTTTGCCCATAGTATCCTTCAATATTGAGGCTTGAATTTTTTACTCAATTAATTCAACACTAGGATACACAAATGAAATCATGACTAGAGCCCAGACCAGGGGCAGTATTCCCACCCCCATCATATGAGGAACAGCAGCATCAGGGCTCCACCACTTGCTCAGGAAGCAATGGTCTTGCCGCTGCTCTGCGCTGGCCCAGCCACATCTGCAGAGCTGGGCTCACTGTAGCGCACTGGGTGTTAAAAGAACTGCAGAAAAGCTTTAGCTAACCTACCTTGACCCCAAGAAATGGGAAAGAACAAGGGATACTGAAGCATGCAGAGGGAAGACTCGGGGGATCTTAACAGGCTCTGAAGGCCTGCTGTCTGGCTGGGTGCAGACCTGATCTATGTTACTGCAGAGGGAACAGTGAGATGGGCTATCAGGGGATTCCAGATTTGGGCTCAGTTTGTTCTAACAGAGATGCTCTTAAGAGGTACTGTTCATAAAGCAATGAGCTCTAGTCACTGCAGGGTTCTAGCAGAAATGGGTGGCCACGTGCCAAAGAGGTTACAAGACAGGGATCTGGGCTTCTTCCAGAAGGACAGTCTGGAATCAGTGATCTTGCAGGGCCCTGCAAGACTAAAGCTCTGTAGAACAAAGAGGTCTGGTCAAATGGAAAAGAGGGAGAGAAATGCTGGAATGATCAGCCTTCTTTGTGCCCTGAACTCTAAGCCCTAAATTTCTCAGGCACCCTTCAGTGAGTCTCAGCATGGAGACAGCACATGGAGGTGGGTGATCCTGGGGAGTCTCGATCCTCAGGCTCCAAGGGACAGTTTGCCACAAAATAAGAGTAGTGAGCATGCCATGACCTTGAAATGATGACTACTCCCCACCATGTCAGCAATGATAAACACTCCACCCTCGGCAGGACTGGAGTGTTTGCTGGAATATCCTCCCCTCCCTTACTAAAATCCTGTTGCCAGGACAACTAGTTTGTGTATATGATGAACAGGAGCTGGGGCATAGACTGAGGAGGAAGGCGGGTGCTCCATCCTCCCACACTAGGACTGTGTGTTCTCTTGCCACATGGAAACGGTTACTGTGCCTGGACTGAGGGCTGCTCGGAGGGAAAGGGAGAAGCCTGGGGGGGGGGGGTCAGATCCAAATGAATTATGTCCTTCCAGCAAATGACAGTCCACTTTTCCTCCCCAGTTCCACACAGAAGGCAGATTCCTA